CTTGATGAGATAGAAATCCTGGGGGGGTCAGACCCACCCAGTTTTATTTCCAGACCCCCTGAGGCCCAGGAGTTTTATTGGTCTAAAACCTATGGCATAACCCCCCTCCCCTTCACCAGACGGGTATCCTAATGTACGTTGTCAAGTTGCCTAAGGAGGCTGTCCTTTTCTCTGTTTCTTGAGGCTGGCTGCTTCGGCCAGATTCGCAGATTCAGCAGTTCCAGTGTCACTATACCCACCTCGCAATGTGCTAGGTACATGGTCTTCATCAGCAACGTTCCAGAGGTGGGCTGGGGAACTTTGGAACCATGGTCCTTGGAACTGCACGCAGGCCGAGCTTCTTACCCCTCTGCGCTTCCGCACCATGCCTGCCAGATTCTGGGCTGCAGCTAAGACATCAGCTGTTGTTGCTGCACACTGCAGCATCCCGCAGTCTAAAGCGCTCAGGAGTGGAATCCCTTCGGCTGGCCCGCGGCTTAACGGCCCAGCTTGGTTCATTCCGCAACTTGTGGTTGGTCTTCCCTCTCAGGTGGTCATGGGGGACTACGCCGCGTCGAATGCAACCACTGTTCCGCTGGATGCGCTGTTCTCAGGTGATGTAGCTTTGTGCAAACAAGTCTTGTTTATCGTCAAATCATGTGAGCTGACCGAGGATGAGAACAACTCAGATCCATGGCAGCACCTGCACCAAATGGTCTCAAGGGGAGCCGAGGCAGGCTTGGCTCCAAATGGTAGACCCGAGAGAAACGTGTGCCTCTAGGCGAAGAAGATTTGATTGCAGGTGCAGATAGGCCTACACGTCGGCCGAACCTTTGCCGCGCAGATGTTCGAGCAGGACGGAGATTTGCAGAAGATCCAAGCCAAATACTCGTAGTACTTTGGATCTCAATGTTGGCCATGCATGGCCATTGCAGCATCTGACCTTGGCTCTCTCAACCGCATACATTTCCTTCTGCAGCAGGTTCGCAGCAGTTTGACTGAGCACCAGAGCTTCTGTGAGGTGCAACGCTGTTCTGGTGCTGCTTGTCAAATTTTCCTGCCATAACGTTACCGAAAACTTGGATGCGGCCAGCTTGTGTCAGGGGCCGAAGCAGGCGATGCTTCGAGAAGCACGAACCCGGCTGAGGGATACTTACCGAACCACGCTCTCCACTCAGACCCCGCATGTTGATCTTAATCATCTACACGCCCCCGCATAGTGTTGACACTTTTTGGGAGTTTCACTACACGTGTCGACTGGTAGGCTTGGTGGAAACGAGCGGCTTCGCAAGCTGCTTTGCGAGGCCCAGCACTGGGTTGCAGAGAGAATGGAAGGTAGGCATAGTGCTGCCAGATCTGCAGCAACATCAGCGTCTTCATTCCTCCGCTGGACCTGCAGTAGGGCACCCAGATGTAGAAGGGCACCTGCAAGCTTGACTCTGAAAGAAGCTCGCGTTGTTAGGGCCCTCTTGCAAAAGACGGATGACCTGGAGGCTGGCACATGCTATGTATTGCTATGCTGCAGCTGATGAAAGGACACTAAGCAGCACTAGTAACCTTTCAAAAGGCGAAGCCGGAGTTTGATGCCAGCAGATAGCCCAGAGATCAGTCAGGCATCTAGAGGACCTGGAGGTCCCGTTGGCAGTGTCCTGTGCACACGTGTCGAGGTCTCCAGTTAGGGGACATGCAAGAACTGCTGTGCCTGGCTCTGGAGGCAACGGGCCAATGAATTTGCAAAGCTCCATTTTGATGTTTCGGATGGTAGCTGCCAGGTCTACCGCGAGTACCAGCGATCAATGTGGGTTGGGGCCTGAGTGCATGCGAGGCTGGGAATTGTCTTGATGACAGCTCCAGCCCGGCTCACGCACGAGTAGGCAGGCCTGTTGAGGATAATCATTGAGGTTCAGGTTTTGCAAGGCCACCTGAGAGTCTTCCACTTGTCCGAGCTCATTTTGCATGGGGGCTGATTGTGTTGCTGCAACCTTGTAGAGCAAGGACGGGAGCTGGCACTACGGCCTGAATGTGCGTCAGCTGGGTCGTGGTTGGTACCAGGAACCGGTGGCCTGGCGAGAAATAGAGGCATTGACCCAGTGATTTTGAAGGCCTCATGGCACCGCAGACTTATAAAGCTTTGGTGTTAGAGAGAATTGGACTTCTTGTTATCATGCCATCTCGCTTCGTTCTGCCCTGTAGATGGCTGCCAAGCTTGTTCAGTGATGAGGTGCCGGAGCCTGATGCCGAGGAGGAGGCTCCGTTAGCTGGCCCGGCCGAATACCATGGTCAAAATTTGATCAATTAGTTTGAGGGGCCAGGCTCTGCGCATTTAGGATTAAAGGTAAAGATTCTGGCATCCCGACAGATTCCACTCCAACGCCAGGAAGTGGATGCATCATCCCTGGAGCCTGGGGCTTGAGTGATCTCAGTGATATTGAAAGGTTGTGGCATGTTGTTCTCGCTGATTCCATTCCAGACTTCCAGACTGCCTGCAGGTTTCTTGTTGAGGCAGGCAAGGCGTCCTCGGACTCAGTCGAGGAACGGGAGAGGGATCACCCAGGTTTGTCATTTCTGACCGGGAAGCTTTGCGCAATTCCCAAATTTAAATATAGAGCAGAGGAAAGCGGCATGGGAAAACTCTGGTGAGTTCAATCCCTTGCCGGTTGTTTGAGCCGCTTGCCAGTTGTTTGTACATCCATGTGGCTACTGGTTTTTGAGGAGTGGCACATTCACCGATACGGTCTCATCAGCATTCTCGTCCTGGACACGAAAGGCGCCTCGCAGTTGCCCTGAATTTTGAAACCTGTGACTGCTATCATTTGTGCTTGCGGCCCCTTCAAATTCAGCAGGCAACGCCATGACGGCAGCAGGGGCCGCAGGATGGAAGATCCAGCATCAGTTCTCTGCTGCTAGTGGTGAGAATGATGACAGTGGGCCAAGGCCCTGACGAGCACCCAGCCCTGGCACCTAGCTTTTCTTTCTGCGCTTGCATGCTGTATCCTGGGATTTGGACTGTGTACCTGAGGCCCAGCAGCGTGCTGTCTCAGCGCCAATGGGCTGCAGTGGATGAGGCCAGCTAAACAGGGGCGTTCTTATTATGGACACTTGTGTCATCAACTTTGCCATCTTCTGGTCCTGAGCTCGCTGATCAAATGATTTAATCACTGTCCTTGTCACTTAGCTCAGGATGCTGTTCACAAAGATTTCACCGGAGCATGATTTCTTGCAGGTGCTGGCTGATGATGCTGTGCAGGTTCTTCTGCTTGTGGCAGACTCACCGCTGGTGCTGGAGGATATGGCATGGCGTGAAGATGTCGTGGCTACCCTTACCGCGCAACTGACCTGTACTGATGGGCAAATACTGCACCTTACTCGTGCCTTACTTCAATGTCACATGAGTAAGAGCTATTCACTTCATTGCCGTGTGTGCTGCGTCCAGGAGGATTCCTCTTCACAGTCGTGTGGGCCTTGACACTGACAACTGCTACTGTTGCAACCACTCTGATACCAAAACCACCTGTCAAGCTGTTTCGGCTTGGCCGCAACCACCTGGTTTAACGGGCAGAGTAGAGTAGATGCACAGCGACAGTGTATCCAGTTCGAGGCAGGTAGAAGGTCGAGCTCAAAAGCATGGTCATCCATACCCTTCACTACTAGAATGAGTGGAGTATCGGAGGGGCTCAGGGCAACCGTGCTTGAAGCACCAGATTGCTTATCCTTCCTGGTTTTGCAGAAGGCTTCCCTCTCCATGCCGCAGACCACATTCCATGCTGCTCCACAGCCATGGGATGGCTGGCTGCAGTTTTCCTTCCGACATATGGTGACCCACGTAGCAGCACGCTTACCGTATCACAGCTTTGCGCAACTTTGAAGGTATTTCAGCAGAGTCGCCACAACCTCCTCCTTGGGACCGTGGCATCTACAAATTCACAAACGCAGTGTGTGCACTTGTGGCGTGGAGGAGCCAGAGGCGGCTGCGGCTGTGGATCACGAGGCAGACGCATGGCTTTCCGTGGCGGCCACAGCTCACAGCTTGGTGCCCGAGGCCAGAGAAATCTGTAGCTGTATCAACGTGCCGGTAGCAAGAGTTCGGCAGGAGCTGGTGCGGCAGATCCTTTTTGACAGCATGATGAAGGCCACATGTGTATGGTCTTCCTGCACATGTGCCTACATTACTGAGCTGCGCTGCTAAGTTCGACTACCGGGGCGTGATGCGCGAAGCCAAGGCCCATTGCACATTTCTTTCAGGAGTTCATGGTAGCGGCTTGCGTTCCACCGCTATCCAGGAACATAGGAGTTGAGAGTTTAGTGGAAGCAACGCGTTTGCCAGAGCTTGTTGACTGAACCTGTTTCAACGAGATAGCTGCGCCATGTCAAGCTGCTTGTACAGGTAAGCCCGACGGAAATGTTGCAATGGGAAGTTCCTTCCCTTGCCTGGGGGCCAAACATGCCCAAGGAGGTGCGGGAGAAGATGGAGGCCAAGCAAGCGTAAGTGCAAGGGGCAGCAGAGGGCTTGCAGTAATCCGCCTGAGGCAGTCCAGCGCATGGCCTGCCGAACGAATTGTGAGACGTCTGGCCCTGGCTGTGAGCCAAAGCGATGGTGCCGAAGCTCAGCCGAAGCTGAGAGATGCTCAGAGGCTGCGCCTTTCGCCATTGCACGGCAAGCTGCCCTGTGAGGTGCTGGTGGCTCCACGAGGAGTTGACCAAGCTTCTTCAAAAATCGGGGAAGCCAGCTGAGCCGCAATTCTTGAGCATGCTTCACATGTCCATTTAATCGCTTCTGAACTGACAATCCTGAGCCTGAGCCCATTGCCTGTATGAAAGCGAATCACTAATTGGCCTCGCTGTGAATTTGGGTTCTGCAGACACCCGCGCTTCCTGACAGGCAGGTCAACGAATATTTCCACATGCAGAAGGCCAAGATGGACCAGCTACAGGCTGAAGTATTGTCCTGTGATGTTTTTGCTTTGAAGTGCTTTGTCAGAAAGCTGGGTAACGAGGAAGACTACTTTGTTTGGGGCGCCCCAATGCTGCTGCCTCCATTTCTGGCAGCGCTTCGTGTCCACGAGGCCCGGAATAACCCAGACTTCGTGGCGAGCGGCGAGAGCATTGAACAGCACTATTCAGCAGGATGTGATCCGCTTCCTTGCCCTGCTCTTCAGCCGTCATGGCTCCAGCCCCATGCTGCACCGCTGCCTTGCGACCAGGCAACTTCACGCTTGGTGGCCGCATGGATCGCATGGTACATTCATGCTTCAATCCGGGAGGTGGGGCGAAATACTGCGGACTGGTTACGTCAGCATGGTGGAGAACCAGCAGGTGCATCTTAAAAGCCCCAACCTGCTCTTCCGTTGCTTTCGTTGCTGCCATGACAAGGAGCTGAACAATCAGGTGGCCAAGGCTTGAGAAAAGATCTCTCTTCCCCTACTGCACTCAAGCCTCCAACGACAGGTCTTCTGGGAGTTGGGTGCCACATCCCGCTTCACCAACTTTCGCCCGGACGCCTAGCTGTTTTGGTGCAGACGAGACCTCTCCGCACGAGTATCTAATGGCATTGCAATGCAAGGATGGGTGACTCTGTCACAGCAAATCGTGCCCCTGGAAGCAGGCCCGAGCTCAGAGAGGTTGTAACGGCTGCCCGATGACATTTGCATTAACTTCTGCGGTGCTGCATACAGTACAGCTCCATGTCTTGGGAGTGTCAGTGCCCTGCAAAGTGCTATTAACCTCCATGGTCAACCGGTCGCGTCAAACCGCAGGCTGGCAACGAATGTTCAATGGGTTTATCATGATGACGAGGATTTGCTTTGTACAAGCTTGGGCTGTGAACGAGTTTTCAGGCTCTTGCCAATGAGACTGCCGCTGTCAGGACGCTGAGCTTCCTCCACAGGATACGGCATCGTACAAGATTACTCAGGAGACCCAGCACTTTAAGCTCGGGCTTGCTTCTGTTTTCGGATGGCTTGCTGCCAGGCCTCAAAACGTGGACTCTGAACACTTGCTCCCCAAGGCTGCCAGGGAACCGGTCAAATGGGGGCAATACTGGGTTCTTGTGTTTTCTCAAGGTCGTTTTAAGCTTGCTGTTGCTTCTTTCCTCTTTGCGGCGGCAGGAGGGGGTTTGAGCTTGATAGCTTTGCTGGGGCTTGTTAGCTTTCCTTGCATATCTGTGCTTGACCACCGCTGCTAAAAAGAGTGTCTCCGTGCGTTTGCTTTGTAGGTGTAGCTGCTTGTGTGGCTTGGGGATAAAATGAGAACGGAGTTTGTTTATGTTTATCCTAGAGTTGTTTTCCGCAGAGACATAGGCGGAACCAAAGACAATAACAGGAACATAAATCAGAGAGGTTGTGCTGCTAGGCATCTTGCACAGTTTTACGTCTTCCCATCAGTGGGGTCGGGCCTGTGCCACTGCTGTTGGATGTGGGAGGTCGGCGGCGAGTACGACAACTGGGAGTTGAGGCGCAGCATGTTCGAGGCAGGGCACGACGTGCTTGCAGGTTGCTACTTGGAGATCCAGAAACTTCCTCATCAGGAGTCCATGATCTTCACGGACAAGGCGGTGCCGCACCCCAAGGGCAAGGCTTTCAATCTCACCACCTATGTCAACATTTTGTTAGCCATGTCGCACCTGCAACTCCCCATGAGTCCCAAAGGTCATTCTATCCATGCCATTGTGTGTCTTCACTTCCTGGCTTTCCTTTGTGACATACTCGTGGTTTTCACTCGTCATTTTTCTCCCACCTACACTTATAGTATGCGATGGGCAGAGTATGCTGTGGTCTGGCGGCCTAAGCAGCTATTTAGGGCGTGCTTGGTACTTAGGAGAGTCGCTGGTTCATTTGGGGCTAGCTTCCAGGGCACGTCGGCGTGCCCGGCTTGCAGCCAGCCAAGACTCTGAGGTGCTTCGCTTTCTGATCCGCAAGGTTTTCGCGATGGTGTGGGTGCTCGGAGATTCCAGAGATTGTGGGACAGTGGTAGCAGTCCCTATCGCACAGGCGACCTGCTACTGCTGTCCTGTTGGTGTAGCGACTAAGGATGACACAGTGGGGGACTTCGGCGCTTTCAAGGCCATTAGACCGCGTTGATTTATGCCAGTAAAGGACTTGACAGTGACAGACCAGTGGCAGGTTACAGTAGCTGCCCTCCAGTTATTTGCAAAGTAGTTGTTTCACAGCTCTAGCTTGGTCTGGGCTTACTACCCTTCAGACAATCTGGTGGCATGACTGTCTGGTTGCCAGCCCAGGGTGCATATGCTGCTTGGCTGAATGACACAGGACTCGTCCAGGCGGGAGAGAGATTTGCAATCCGGTCCCTTCCAAGAATCCGTATGACATGTTGGAGGTGATGGCCTACGATGGCATAGCTAACGCGGCTGCCCTTGCACAGCTGTTTTCGATTGAGCGATTGAGCTTCTTTGCTGGAAGCCTTTTGTTGCAGCCCTCTGTCTTGGCTTTGAGGTAACAGCCATGACAAACGGCAGGGTGCAGGAGCAGCAATTAGGCGAACCCTTTTCTCTGTGCTGTGGAGGAATGCTGGTCAGCAGTACGTTGAGTGTGAATTGATCGTGCTGGTTTTCCTATTGACTGAAAGGGGAGCCCTTCGATCTGGGCCAGCGCTTTGATTGGGTGATGTCCCTGGAGGCAGGGACAAATCAACGTCTGCACCATCCAACTGCAACCAAACCAACCTCTCACGGCTGGCACAAGCTATCGCTTGTCTCATGCAGGTTGGAGAACACCTTCCCTCCAGTTCGGCCTCCACCTTCTTGAGCAACATCCGCCGGCACGCTGTCAAAGGCCCACAGAGACTCGAAGCCGTGCAGGGCACAACGCTGTGGCAGCAGCCTTCGTGAAAGACTCATCGCCCTGGGCCAGGTGCAGTCATAAGCTGGGGTACACCGGACTTTCCATCGGTCCATCACCCTAACTTGCTGACGGAGGCTGTTAGATCTCTTGGTTGTAGCGAGCAGTTTGAGTTTGGGGAGATCCCGTTGCTAGGAGGAGTCGACACATCTGATCCAAAGGCATGGCTTCAGGCAGGACAAGGCCAGGTTGCTGGCATTCCAGGCGAGAGGTCGAGGACTTCGCTTCTGGTTTCAACCCGTGCAAAGGAGCTGACGCAGCAGCTACGCTCCATGGCCGAGCTGCCTGCCTCTCAGCACCTCAGAGCAGGCTGGCAGGCACATGATGGCAGCAGCGTCCGCGACATGGAACATAGAACCACACACGACCTAATACCCAGAGCCTTGCCCTCTCCTTGGCCCAGGGCCTGGCTGAAGCAGACAGTTGCGGTGTACCACACCACTGACTGGTTGGATGAACATCACTTGGCAAGAAAAGGAGCTAGTCTGCAGTGCTGGCTGCCTTGGTGCTGAAGCAACTCTGCGTTGGACAGTCCCATTCCCATTTTGGCAAGAATTTTTTGCCGAGGTCTGCCTCCAACCCGCTTCTCTTAAGCTGGCGAGACAGCCGTCAAGAGCAGTCCAGGTGGGCAACAGGCTGACAAATCTCTAATGGCACTGTGAACACTCAGTGCTCCTGATGCCAGTTTGCTTCAGAAGCTCTTCCAATGGAAGCTGACGCAGTGCCCCATCACCCCAACTCCCGAACTAAGTTGAACTTACAGGCTTTTCTCGCACTCTCTTGTGATCATTCTCAAAGACTCGCAGTGTCAAGACTGAACAATCATAGAGAATCATAGTCTCGTGCTCGGAGAAGCGGAGGCAAGTTCACGTTGCCCCCGATGAGCACACGCAACTCACTCACTGGCAGCAGCATAGATTCTCAAATGCAGGTGTAAATGCGGGGTTGACTGCGGGATCACATCCATCAACCTTCCCTTCAAAAAAGGAGCTGTTTGGGTTCGCAGTGGCTCTTACAGTGTGAAGAGGACTGGAGACCAGGAAGAAACTCCTGAGACAGTGAGTGTTTGGTCTGAAGGCAGGCTGAAGCCGAGAGATAGAAGGCTCCACGCACGCGAAGGGAGTGAGTGTGGGAGCACCCTTCAGGGTCCGACGGTGCCGCTGGTTGGACTGGTTTCGCAGAGGGAGGGCAACTTGGCGAGAGCGGCGGCTGATCATATTGCAACCGCTTCCACCTCGGGCAGACCGGACAAACTGGTGCCCCACATTGCATGCAAAGTATCCTACTTGTGTCACCAAGCGCCAGCAGAAAAGATTAAAATTGAGAAAGAACAAAACACATCAACAATGCTTCAGTGATGCCGCATTCCTCAACGGTCGTCGCGTGCGGCAGCACAAAGATCAACAGCGCATTCATCAATTGAGGGCCTCAAGTAAACAATTCGCCAACATCAAAGTTAGTTCACACGACCGGATGTGTTGCTAGGCCGTGAGATTGAGATTTTTGCGATCTTCTGAAAGTCCCAGGTACCCCTGCCGTGAGGTCATAGTGATCAACGCAGGGGCTGGGTTCAGCTGGGGACTTGGTGCAAACTTCAGGCTCGGGAGATCTCAAAGGCTTTGAGACCCCCCTTTCATGGGTTCCCAATGAATAGAACATCTGTTTTCCTGACCTCCCGGGCCAAGGCACCACTGGCGACCTGCGTGACAGCAGGCTCGTGACGTTTGGATTTGTTACCGGCAGGATGTAGGCCACAATATGGCCGGACAGATGCGTGTACGAAGTTGTTAGATCGAACGCCCGTACTGCTAGTTTCGAACAGGTTCATTTGAGGATTGGTCAGGGTCGGATGGAGCACGGGAGTTTTGAATGTGAAGCTCAAAGCATGACAAGAGCCTGTAATGCAGCAGAACCGCGCTCAATGTGCAGTATGACTTGTACGGCGGCAGCTATGCACTTGCGCACTCCAGGCTGGGCTTGTCAATTCCAGTGATCCTCGCCGGGGTCGTTCTGACCTTGGGAGATGCCACGGAGTTTTCATCAAAAGCTGGCGCAACATGTTGGTAGCTTGATGATCCGAGGTGGAAGGCTCCACGTCCTGCGAGGGCTGGCAGCTGAATGGGGAGGTGCCAGGAGGGCGCTTCAAGCGCTCCGCCAAGAGTGCCACAGAGTGTGAAGCTTTTCCTTCCACAAAGCATTCCTCAGGTATAGCTACCGGCAGCCCAGTCCCAACAAGTGGGGTCTCCACTTCCTGGACATCGACCTCGGCACCTCACATCGACCAGCAGCTGTTGCCCAAGTGTCACGTTGGTTCTTCTAATTCCTGCGCTGGATCGGGCGTATGGCTGCATTTTGTTGCATCTTGCTGAGGTAGACATCTCACTAGTGACCGGGTATGCGGCCCAGAGGGACACAATACTGTTAGTGGTTTGGAAAAGTTGGTTTTTCAAGTTTTGCGGGCGCCTGGGAACATTAAGCAGCTAAGGCAGCTGCCGCAGCACGCGCCGCGCCTTGCCCAGCGAGGGGTGGTTCATGATGACCAACTGGATGCGGCTCGCTCAGACCCATCACTGACTGGTTCAAGCGCATGAGGAGTGCTTCCTTTTTGCACCTTGCGCAAGGTCTCTGGGGTTGGGTGACTTGCTGACGTTCTGCCGACTCATTCCTCCTTTGTACACAGCTCTGGGACTCCAACCGCGGACATCTAGCTGTCTGATTGGGTCCTGATTTGCACTGGTGCCCTATAACCCAATACGGGGAATGGGAGTTCCCAAGTTAATGTGCCCCTGGCCTACGTTGCCATAGATTGGAAGTGCCCCGATGAAAGATGGAGATCATTGTGGGGCTAAGAGCCGGCAGAGGCTTGTGGGACATGTTTTGCTTGGAATTGAAGCAGATGTGAGATGACTGGCTCGAAGCTCGACCCTTCACAAGTGACAATCATGCTTCGATCTGCCCAGACGCATCCTGGTGGCCGACTCTCAAGTTTTCGCCCAGCTCTGCAACCTTTGACTCGACCTCCTCATGCAGCCTTTGCCATGTTTTGCTCTGTTGGCTGTGCTGGCCCACAGCGACGACCTTCTCTAAGGCAGCCTTCCACTGTCAATAGTTTGCAATGGAAGTGCAGCCCTGCTGTGAAGGTTTTCGCCACGTGGGCCAGCGGGTTGCAATGCTGCTCACATGAAAACCTGATGTCCCTGCAAAAGTATGTGGCCTTGAAGCTAACAAAAAGGAAAGCGCGCTTGGTGCATCTCTCCGCTCCATTCGGCTTCGATTGGAAGTGCCTCAGACCAACGAGATAAGTGGTTTGGGAGTTAAAGACTTTGTCTTTGCAAGCAGCAAATACAGCACCTTCCAAGCAATGCCGTGGGGAAGAGGCTGTAGCTTTTGGACGCCGACGTGTGGACGTGCCAGAGCTGGTCGAGGAGGCGTACCATGCTGCTTTGCAACTGCGTGAAGCGGAGCTGTGCTCTGAGTCCAAGCTTCCTTGTCCCTTGCAGATTCGAAAAGCCACTGCATGTCTGGTCTGGAGCGAGAACAATGACGACTCGCTCTTCAACCTTTTCTGCGAGCACTCAATGCTGGCAGGAGAGTTCTTGACCGCTAGTTGAACAATGTCTGTAAGGGCTGCTTCCCTGGCCAAATCCATGCCGGGCATCTGCGCTCACAAGAATCCTTGAGCATGCAGGATTCGTGGCTGCGCTTCGTGCTGAAGCCAGCCCCACTGCAGTGTCCTGGCACGCACATAGAGCTAAAGCATGTGTCAGCCTGTGTGAACCCTCCGGGAGCCCAGCTTAGGTGAAGTTGCAGATCCTTCAGTCGCTGTCCATCTTGGTGCAGAATGCCCAACGGGACTTTTGACCATGGGAGTTTGTGTCTGTGATTGCGTGATGAGTTTTGTTGCCGGGGTTTGGGCTAGCTCGCGTTGCGTGGATGTTTTATTTTTACGTATGGCTCAGCGTCCACAAAACAGAACAAGTAAGATTCGTGTATTGCGATGTATATATTATGTATATACACATGTTGTTGTTGGACACGCTTCTTTGATTTCGTGTTCCCACAGCTTCTGCAAGTTCAGCCCATGTGCAAGTGTCAATTTTCTTTTTGACTCTGCGGGGATATGCAGAGCTTCATGGCAATTCAGGATTTCAGAGTGGTAGGGGTCAGGCCTTTGGGCTGGACATCTCATATCATATGAACATGTGTCCTTGGAAAACGGCTTCGGAAAGCCTCGTTGGTCAGGAACGTACCCACATACCCCGCATACCCATGCCTTGTCTCCACATGTCTAAAAGCAGGGTCTACATTGTCTACATGGTAAAACACAGGTGAAACAATTTGGAATCATTGTAGTTTTTTTGCCTTAACTCAGTGTCCGCAGCTGAACGGGCAGTTCCATGCTTTGCTGGGTTTCAGCTGGAACGGGCATCTACGTTGGGATTAGAGTTTTCTGCCGTGTAAATGTGCTGCTGCAGTGTAATTATTGTTTCCAGTCCCAGCGTCAGCACTAAATGATTTGAATTCCGCCAACTTAAGTGAGTCAACCCCACCCCTCGTAGTCTTTGATCAAGGACACTTCTTTGATCTACTTCCTGTCGCAGGCAGCGTTTGCATCTCATGCTCTTGCTGTGGGGTAGTGACACTCTGCAAGCTTGTGCAAGGAGGCCTAGCAGGTTTTGGGAGAGGGCAAAGCTTTCCTGGAAACCGTGTTGTCAGGGCATGCTAAATGACTTCTTCGATGACCCTCCGGCACGTACCTCAGTTTCCATGTTGCCTTGTCCTGCGCTGTCTACCGACGCGAAACGGTGGCAGCGCAGCTCATTTGAGTGGCCTTGTGAGGGGAACATGGATGAAGAGTCCATGGCCTACTTCGTCACCCTACTCAAGGCTGCTGGAACCATTGCCAGTTGCAGAGTTCGGTGGGAGCATGCTTGCATCCAGAAATGGGTGATTTCTCACAAGTCGCTATTTGTGGGAAGTTCTTTGGGCTACTTCTCCCTAGTGGTCGTAGCGCGAAATAGCAGTATTTAGAAGCTGCACTCGGTCGTAGGCACTGCTTTTCGGCGACTATTTGTCACTGCTTCACGGCGACTATTTGTCTGCGTAGTCAACTTGGATCGAAGTTATTGAGGGTCGGCACCACTCAACTGTCGTGCACGAGCGGACGCGGCAGGGGGGGGGGGGGGATGACGAACGCGTCAGGTTAGGGCCAGGGCAAGGAAGCTGTTACGCCGGGTCCCAGAAGGTTGAGATTCTGAGGTCTCCATAGCCGTCTCCAAGTGTTGCCCAGCTCATGTACGGTGACCTCCCAAAGCTAGATCGTGCTTGTAGTTGCTTCCTGCCAGCATACGTACATGACTTGGTCAGAAACTGTTGCTCGTTCTTCATCGAGCCACGCCGTGGAGTGTAGCGAAAATGAACGCTGGCTGTGCTCATCTTGGCGCCAGTTTAATATGGGCAGTGCGATACACTGACCTCTAGTAGCCAGCTCAGGAGGTGGGTGACTAAAAGTAGGGCAAAAAAGGGGCATGGGTATGGGTAGTGAGTAAAAACATGGATCACAGGATGCTGCATTACTGCAAGATGTCTGACCAGCAAGTCCCAAATTTGATTTTGAAGCCCGAGGGCATCTCCTTGCGCTTGGACGGAGAGATGGCGCTCCTGTGTCTCTCCACAAGCCCGAGCAGGGGTAGTGCAGGCCACATTTCATCAGTTGTTCTGTTTGAGTCTACGTGCGTCATGTCAGGGTATGGTGGTTCCCATGGCACAAGAACACACTCTGCAGTCCGGATGCCGATCTTTGACAGCTGCTCGTCAGTGTTTTTGGTACGAATTTCCTTTTAAGCTCCCGGACCTGATGGCTCGCGGGCCAGCCTGTCACTCCTACACAGTTCTCTGTAGAAGCTCAGGAGCCGTCAAGCTGATTGCCCATGCGGATCCGATGGTGCAGCATCTTAGTTGTAAAGTCTTGCTTTGTGCCGCGACGGCCTTGCAATTGCTGGTCTCTTCCTGCTAAGGACATCAGCTAGGAATGCCACCCTACGCATGCTGAGCCTTGAAGCCCCGGCTGTACGTGCAGCTGTCGAGGGTGCTGCTGCAGGCAGGGATGGGACAAAAAGTATGGCTACTGTAGCTGTTTGACTTACCTTCTGTTCTGGCAAGCATGAACGAACATGTGGGATTCTAAGGCGAACCGAAGTGAAAGCAACGCCTGTGGGACCCCATGGTGATTTTTGGTGTTTCCCGGTACCTGGCCAGACAGGCTCCTTGGCTCCTTCGCTGGCAGATGCTGCCGCGACGCTGCGCGATGGCATAAGCTTCAGATATGATGGGCTCAAGATGGACGATTGCAAGGCCTCCAGCAACCCAGGGGTTTTTGAAGCAATCCCTATATAACCTTGCGTATAGTCTAGTAATACACATGATCCTATTCATCCTTGGGATCCATTGAGGGCTTTGTGCACCAGTTGCTTCTGATCAAGCGTTTCAGGCGCAGCCTGCAGCACTCAGCTCTCTTCTGGACTTCGCTGCAGACCTTCTCCATCTAGGCGGAAAAGCGTTGGGGCAGAGTCTGCTTACGATCAGCCACATGGTCTTGGGAGCATTGTGCCGTTCATGAGGATGCCTTGGGCCTGTCTGGCACAGGCATAGCTCCACTTACAGCTGCGATGGAGAAAGAAGGCCTTGGGCAGAGGGCCTGTTGGGACATGACCAGACAAGAGCAAGAGCACGCTCAGCTTCTCCAGGCTTCTCCATGGTGGGAGGCCGAGCTGCCTGGCGTGGGCCGTTGATGTCTCTCCATCAGGCCCGTGCTGATCAGTACCACTATGTGCAAACCATGTTCTATTCTATCTACCTAGAAGTTGAAATCTCAGCACAGAGTTGCCATCTTGCCCAGCATATAAGTTGATCGGATAATGCATCCAGTCTTGGATTTTTTGACAGTAGCTGAGAGAGTCTCTTGGCTTTTCGTGGTTGTTGGTGTCGCTGCCTCTTGAGTCTGCATTACTATGACCTCGACAAGCTGCCAAACTCACCTGATCACCCTCTTCACGCCCATCTCTGAACAGTTTACCCCTATTTGACATCGGGCGCTTGTAACCCAGAGCCGCCATACAAGTTGACTGTCACTTTTAGTATTAGAGTCATCGAGCCTGTGGCGCATCACTCGTGTCACTAGTTGATGGACTCAGGGATCTACACCACCAACCCAGACGCACTGCACTGGGGATCGCGGAGTACCTGACGCCTTCACCAAACAAGGTTATGATCAATGAAATCACGACCTAACCGCACAACACGGAGGAGAGAAAAACAGCTCAACCCGCATGCTAAGCACACTGCATGGGGCAGGAGAAAAGCTCTTGCAGACTCTTGCAGACTCTTGCAGACTCTTGCCTCTTTTGCTGCTCCAAATTAAGGGATATCAAATGTTCGGTGAGGAGTTGCCAGGCGCAGCCATACATCCACACAACTGCCAAGGTTACCCAAATCGAGAAATTGCCACATCTCAGCGGTTTTGTTGAACTCAACAGTTTTGCAAAGACATGGCACCAAGCATCTCCTTGCAGGCTGAGAATCATGCTGCAGTCCGTGTGTTCGAGAAGCCCCAGGAGGTTTGGCAGATTTGGCAGCTGTTGCCGCTTCAGGATAGTGTGGTGGCCATTTGCGCATCATATGATCTAACGGGATCCCATTCTCAACTTACGACCACGGGGTGCGGGAGTTTTGCACCAAATTGCCTTGCGCGAAGGGAGCGGCTGTGATCGCCGAGATTGCAAACGGGGCGTTGCTCCATGCCTTGGCTCCTCAGCTGAGCTCAGGCTGAGCTTGAGGTGGAGGGCCGTTTGCGCAAAGAAAAAAGCAACCAGCTGAGCTCAGGCAGTGAACGGCAACTTCGTGAACGTTTGTTGGAGGGGCATCGATGGATGGATTGGGCGCAAGTGTCCCCACGGCAAAGGAAGAGACTTATGAGATCAGCGGGTGTCTGAGCTGAGGAACGCTCGACGGGCTGGCAGGCATTTGCGGTGAACGATGTCTCCTTACAAAGGGTGAGTGGGGAAGCTGCTGAGCTCAGGCCAAACTTCACGACGACTCTGTGAGAGGTGCAGAAGGATGTGAAGGACCTGTGTGGCAACAGTGCAGGCTCCGGGGACTTCCAAGAACTCCTAGGAGCCTTTCGCTAGGACTCATCGCTCAGACAAAGACTCTGCAAAAATCAGGGGGGGCTTGCTGCGCTGCCGGATTTGAGCCTCAGATTTCTTCAATAAGTTGTGGGTCGACCATATGCTTGCCACAGCAGTTGCCCTGACTGCCAACTCGTCAGGGATCTGCAGCCTGGAGACTTTTGGAACAGTCACTGTAGCGCGGCCAACTTGTGGTGCCTGATGGCCTGTCCAGAACCAGTCGTGAGAATCGTTCAAAGCAACCCAAAACACACAGGCCCTGGCCGGGAAAGATGAGTCTTGCACAAATAGTCAAGCGTGATATTCGAACACTGCGGCTACAGCAGGCAAGGATCTTCTCACATCCCATCATCAATGCGAGTGGTGACGTTGCCCCTCCGCTCCTTTGTCCCATTCCTACCCTTGCAGGAGTGTACCCGTACTGCATCTGTAGAAGCCGCATTCTTGTGTGTTTGAACACTCTAAGCCGCTTAGGCGACACTGAACAGAGGGAACGCAAACAAAGGATGGCAAAGCTTCAAGGCAACACGAGAGTCATGCTGCCGGCATTAATAAGCAATGCCATACAAAGCCATTGGATTAGACAGTTTGTGGGGACCTGCCGTCTTTTGCGGTGGGACGTCGTCTGCGATATGGAAGCCTTTTGGCTCAGATAGCTCCTCTCTGGCCCCCAAATTGCAGCATGTTGCGCTTTGTGCAGCTTGTGGTGTCCGCGGCATCCTTGACCGCTTTGTGGCTTTCGCCGCCTTTGTCGGGCATCAGGGGGGTGCGCGAGGCCTGGCCCGAGCCTCGCAGGCTCCAAGCCCTTCAAGAAGCAGAGCCATGGGCAGCCCATGTCCCGAAGAACGACACTCCGGAATATCCGGAGCTTATTGTGGAGGCGCCTGAGGGGGTGCCCCGCTTGGCGAACGCAAGTGCCAAGGTTGAAGGGGCCTTGGCGGAGAGAAGATTGCTGTTCAAGTTTCCGGAAGCGGACCCGGACGCGGTAAAAGATGCAAAAAGTGAAGTCAGGGCCGGGATTGGCGGCACCCTCGCGTTGACCATGACCTACTTTGCCACCAGCGGCACGGACTGGGACAAGGAGCAAATCAACGCCGTCGTTCAATCTACCAAGTCCGTCTTGACTGCCGTGGGTACAATGTTTGGACCCAAAGGCATGTTGCTTGCTGGTGTTGCGGGCGGCATTTTTGACGCTCTCAACCCCTTGGAAGATGACGACGATTTGGACCAGAAGCTCAGGGAACTGAAGGAGGACCGTGCGCATCATTCTTTTGAAAAAGCTCATTGCATATTCCGCCTTGAGTTTACAGCACCATCCAGCGTGCAAGGAAATCAAGGAAGAGATCGATGACATGATGGACGAAGTTTTGATGAGGGAGCACATTGGCAAAAGAGCAATTGAGATCGACCATTTCGTGAAGCAGTTGAACTGGGCTTTTGAGGCCATGCCTCTCTTGGATGGCTCGGCCAGGCTGTCAACAGCCCTTGCTCTGGAGAATGAGGCGGCAAGCCTCAGAAACGTTTTGTTCTTCGAATGCTTCATAGGGACGTTCAGGACTCAGAAGTGCCGCTTAGCATCTCAAGCCTGAGCTGCTACGCCGCACGGACTTGCTCCACGCTTTGCTTCCTCGAAATCTAAGGCACCGATCAACTGAAGGCCGGTATATTCCTTCTCCAGGACCTGATGGTGGTGCACATACAGCTGATGTCCGAGATTTTCGAGGCTGCAAAACACGCAGGCGTGCAGAAGGCCGGGCAACTCATGACAAACGCTAGACACAGGCCTCGTAGTAATCCTTTACGTAGCTGAGGAATTCTGACAAGGCTTGCTAGTGGCTAGCGAGAGGGCAGGACAAACACAACGACGAGGCAGTGGCAATGAGGGTAGTTCGGGTCACCACAGAGCAAGGGCAGCCACAAATCTAAAAGTGGAAGTGCTCCAACTCCGCGCAGAACGCTTCAGTCAGAAACACAAACATGACAGAAAGGCAAATGCAGCGAAGCTTTCACAGGGGCAGACCCAGAGGCAATGGCAGGTTCAAAGAGCAGCAAGCAAGAGACAAAGAACAATGGATGCGTAGGCGGGAACCAGAGATCACAGAACATGCGGGCGTGTGAACGATGCAGCGTTTGTCAATGCGCCGCATGCAGCCGCGTGCAGCCAAGCCTTGCGTGCTAGCCGCAACCACGTGGATTTGAATAATCTACAACTAGTAAGAGGAAAAGTGCCCCAACAGCAGGTCTCAAGATGTGACAATCAGATGTAAATTCACCGCCTGCATCATGGACTAGCCTGTGTGAGGATGATCATTTTCAAGTTTTGATCTGCAGCGGTGCATGCCCAGTGCCGTCTCCAGGATGGTGCTGCCAATGTGCAGGTCGCTGTAATAGCTGCGAGTTAGGAAGCGGGAACGTCGTTGATGCTGCAGGGCTTCTTCTGAAAAGAAGTTGGTCAGGAACACAGAGGCCTGAAAGGGTGAAAGACTTGTGGCATGCCAAGGACACGACCAGATCCTCACGGAAGCCTTCTATCACATCGGCTGCGCGAGAGTTCCCGACTTGACAACAGCGCGGGACAAGCCACTGAGGACCTACGGACGCCCGCCGGCAAGTTTCATTGATGGAGCACTTGACGACTGGCGTGACGCTTGCGTGAGGAAACTTGGATCGCGTGTTAATTGCATGCTGAGGCTTCAGGGTGAAGGGCATGAAGTGTGAGAAGCTGTGCCTCAGGAATCGAGACCAAGTTGCTTCTTCTGCAGACGCTATGGTCTGCTGTGGGACGTCTTCCACTGCCAGCTGCAGGCCCTCAAGCTGTCAACAAGCGAGCGCACCGCATGAAGACATATGAACAAGATACTTCTGGACAGCCTGAACTTGGCTGGATGCCCTAACACCGACACCAGCTACCTATCCGCTCACTGGAAGATGTGGGACAGAAGCCAAGTGCTCCGAGACATGTACGAACTTTGCCAGAAGAGCCTTGCGTGCACAGTGCTGCGTGCTCTTTCTTCAGAACTGTCCATGGTGTGCCTGTTGAATTGTGACATCTCAGGAACCGACCTGGATCTGGCTGGGGCCCAGCCAGCGCCGTGGAGCAGGATCGTTGCTGCGGCAGCATGAGGCCTTGTGAACCCTCCATGTGTTTTGAGCTCACGGAATATGCCGACAAAGGGTGCCTTGGAGACAAGGGGCCGCCACATCTTGCCGTGCGTTTAAGGAGCTCTTTGTTGTGGAAACTGAAGTCGAAGTACCGCCGGATGGTGCGCGATTACAGGCTCGGCCTGCAGTGCCTGATCTTTTAGTAGCTCCGCGAGGTCCATGTGAGGTTCAACCGAGGGTGATGCACCTTCTGTGTGGGGAGAGCTTACTTTAGGGCGCGCCCGGCGTCGGATCCTGAATCTGAAGACAGAGCTTGGGCCAGGAAGCTGTGGGTCCGCGGAAAGAGGCAGCGACTCATCGCGCGGATGGCTGCAATCGGGGACACCCAGGATTCCGAGACGGGTAGGGGGGACGCTTGGAAGCATTGGCCTCTTCGCCACGCATGACTATGACGCGAGGAGCCATGACTTTCCAACTTGCTTTTTCTGCTTTGACTCTCCAGCCTGAGGCTTCCAGGAGTGACCGCATTTCGCAGACAGCGCTATGACAACTTCGTCAAGGCCACGTCTGCTGGTGACAGGGCACTCGCCATGGCCAGCGCTGCTTGGCAAGCTACACCAGGGTATTGAGCCACAGTTTCTGCAGCCGCAATAATCCCGAGAAGTTAGCTGCGCGCAGCACATTCCAAGGTGCTGGAAGCTCTGACAATAACAAATCACAGGAAGAGGATTTTGCAGCGTCGAGCCAAACCACAATTGCACTGTGTTATCCCAGCAAAACTCCTCACACATTCTAGAATTGCCACTGAAGGCAGTTGCAGCACGAAAGTCGAAACACCAATTGAGTTTTGGCATCAGGCTCGGGAATAATGAGACGGGGTGACCGGGCGAGGGAACATGTGTTCTCAAAGTCGAAGAACCTCGTACCCCACGCGAGGGCGGGAACGATGCAAAGCTCTTGGACGCATGTAAGCCGTTTGCTGCTTATCCGCGAGCGTGTCCGCTACGAGTCCTGAGTGGTTGAGACAAGCGGAGCACAGGTGCCAAGACAGCTCTTGTGCAGTGACTGTGCTCCGAAGTCCAGAAACCAGGAGGTGAGATGAGGTGAGAGCTGTACAGTATCCATTGAGGATGTGCCCCTCATTCAGGGGTTGAAAAGCCTAAGGCTCTGGTGGTCACCTCGCACGAGCCCATTCCTGGATCTGGCGATATGTGTTTCGGCTATGATGTGGAGCAGAAAGCCAATGCCTTCTCAGACTTGCTGGAGCATCGGCCCCTTGCAAAGGTTGTGGAAATGCACGGGCAAAGCCTAGCGGACCAGCGATACATCGGCGCTGTGCTCAACTATGAGCAAGGTCTGGCTTTCTCTGACAGGCGCGGCTACGTGAAGCTTTGGTGGAAAGGGGGCTTTTGCCCGAACAGCAAGTCATATTGTGGCCGATGGGATGCCTATGACACTTCGAAACGACGCTGGAAGAAAGGTGACACTCTTCATCTAAGCCGAGCGATTCCTTGGTCTCGCCTGCAAGGCGCACATGGAGCCTGGATCATGGAGGGGGCCGAGCACGTTGGATGGGCTGGTGAGGGTGAAAACACCGCGAAGCTAACCATTCAGTCCATTCCCCAGTGCAACTGGAACATTCGCTTCCAGATGAAGATGCGCGATGCTGCGCAAGGGACAGCGGCTGGTTTCGGTTTCAAGGACGATGCTGGGCAGACGCAGTATTTCCTCCTGGATGCAGCGTGGCAAAACCCTGGAATGATTGGGCTGGTGCTTGACGCTTAGTGCTGAGCAGCATGAGTGCGTTTCTTTCATTGCTGAGGCCGGAGGTGGTAAATTGTGGACGGAATCGGGGCGATGGAATCCGGCACAGGACTGGGGTAGTTCTCCTGTTCAGGCAGGTACTTGGCATACCTACGAAATCATCAAGGCCGATGACATGCTGTTGATCCTTATGGATGGCACCTTTCTTATCCAAAGGGATGCCTTCAACTGGGCAATAACGGAGATCTTCTTTCGGCCCTGGAGGCGCAACCCGGAGGGACAAGCCCTGTCCTTTGTCGGGCGGTCATGCTTTCTGCTACATGTTTCTTGCCATCTATGTCACATTGTCCGCCAAAAGATAGTCAGTTCTTGTTGAAGCTTCATAAACCCTCAGCCCTGAGGAATCGCATGGAGGTGAAGTATTTGTCAGAGGACAGGGAAGCCGTTGCCCTCACAGTCCTTAACAACCAACACCACACTGGTGGGTTGACTGGCAAGTATTTCAATTTCCACATGGACGATCTGCGTCTGAAGCCAGACCAGGCAGGAGTTATGCGTGCTGCAGTGACGTCAACTCCTTCGCTTTCAGTTTAAAGTAGGACACTGTTCGTTTGCAACCGTGAGGAAAAGCTGTTTTGGCCACGCCTCGTTTTAGGTTACAATTGCAACGCTAGGGCGATGGAGCCGAAGGGTGTGAAACTGGAATCATTGTAAACTTCTAGGCAGTTCATCGCCGATTTCAGCTTGCTGCTGATGTGACGCCTCGTTGTGCATCAGAAAAGGGACCATGATGCTTCTCTTGACGGTACATCTTGGCGAGGATGGACCTGTAGAGCCAAGGACTCGAGAAGTAGACACGGAGCCCCATCCCTCCAGCAAGATTCTCGACATCTACAGGGAGGGGGGCGTGTGCGCAAAATGGAACACACTGCGAGAAGCTCTCCCTGAGAAGGTGTACTACCGCAAGTTACGGCGCTGTCGTGGAAGCCAAACCATCGCCTCCGCCATCAACTTGCAGATCTGGACCAACGTGGGCTACGGAGGTGGGAATGCTCATGGTCGCAGGCGGGGTGAGAAGATTCCTGAGAGCAACTCCTGATGGTTTAGAAGTGCCCAGAGAATTTTGTGAGAACTCGTGTGTTGAAGTCTTGTTTCTCTTCTGCAGCAGGACGGACAACAACGTCGTCTTCCAGAAGGGTGACGTCTTGACCGCAGAGGAGAATTGTGTAGGTGTTCTCTGATTCAGCCTAAGGCTATCAGACGGCAATGTTTAGTTTAGGCTCGCGCATTCTAGCTAGCGGCTAGCGCAATCGGGTGATAACCTTTTGCGCAGCTTTTTATTTTCCTTTATCTGCAGTCTGCGGTGGAAAGTGCACAGTGTGGCATCGATGCAAGATGATTGCACTTGCAGTCGGTGCCACAACGATGGATTTCTGCACGCAGCCAGTCTGGCCGACGCTTTCGCAGTTGGTCCCTTGGTTGGTTGCTCTGGAAAAATGGATGTGCCTACCAAACCTACAAGATTGAGGATCACATGAAGGCAAGAGGAATGCAGAATAAGTGTTATCCAGGTGATCTATTCAGCCACATCTCTGTCACGGGGCGGCCCACGGCGCAGCATGCTGATGCCTTTCAAGTTCTGCTTCGGTCATTGGCTGGCTGGCGGTAGCCATAGACCAGCATCTACTTTTCAATTCTTTCAGTTTCCGGCGGTTTAGGTGGATGAGCACTGAGTGTGTGAATGAAGTCTCATATCGATATGGCCCCAATGGCGGATGGTCATGACGGGGGAAGAGTTCTGTTGCGATTTTATGCTTGTCGCGGTGCTCACGTGCGAGGGGCACCCGTGCAAGGGCGCGGCCCGCGCAGCAGGCGCGCTGCCTACCCAGAGCTGGCCCAGCAGGCTGTGCATGCTTGAACGTGAGGTTGGCGGCTTAACGTGGCCCCCACAGCCTTGTCTGCCATTGGGTGTGCTTGCTCAGCCGGCGCTATGGACAACCGCGGCAGCTGCGCATGTTTGTATTTCCACGTACCCCTGGGGTCGAGCCATGCCGTGGGTCGATATGCTATAGGGAGCTGTGCGTGAAGGGGCGTGCCGGCGAGCCTGCGCAGACCTGCCAGCGTGGAAACACAAAGGCCTGAGGCTACTGAGGTGGGAAAACAATGGAGTTGTGTTTGAAACAGATTATGTTCGTTGCTTTGGGTTGCCGCATTGTTGCGTGTTGTGCTTGCGTTTGGCCAGCTGTCGAACCTGTCATGGGTGGCAGTGATATTGGTAAGCATATCACACTTCAGCTGACTCACTCGACAGTTGCTGTCGTTGCCATTGTTGCTCCACCATGTTTTGTGTTGCGTCCTTGAGGCGTGACATGACGTCCGCGTCCGGGCTCGTGGCTCGTGGGCGTTTCATTCTTGCTCCGCGCGATCCATGAGTACAACCATGATTGTCGCGTCAGCCTACTTTATTGAATCAACGTCTGCGCAAGAAGGCTTGCCAAATCACAATAACTTTCCCACCCCAATGAACAACCCGACCAGAAAACAACAAATGATACTCACAGAACAGCGTTCTCACCAGATGCCATTTTGCACCCATCAAGCAGCGTCCTTGCCACATAATTCAAGGTGAGATCGCTCGTTTCGCCCGTACCTCCTGTGACGAACCATCACCGGAAGGACAAGGTGGGCAAGAGCTCTTGATTGGGTATGGCTGGCGCTGGAGATTGGAATCAAGACGTGATACTCGTACATCGAAGTAACTTAGCTGCTATGCGCCATGCAGAAGTTTGTGGGGGCTTTGAGGCAGGAAGCTCCAAAGTTCACTGCCCCTTCCACGAGCGTGCTCGTGTGGTGACACAGAAGTGCGAAAATGCACTTGCGCGATTAGCACTGAGCTAACATCACGCAATCCTGTCCACTGCGCAAATCGTCAAGCGAGTGAAGGCACCGCCAGCGGCCTTATCGCCAGTATCTTCCACGGCTTCTGCCGGAGAAGCCCAGCCGCACCGCACGAAGCTCGCCCACTTGGACATGTATGCATGGGGCCGTAAAGGCGTAGCCACCTTCCGAAAGCAGGAACCAGCAAGCATTTGCAAAGTAAGATGCGAGAGCCCCCCACTTTCTCGCATCATTCTCAGCTAAATGCACAGCTTGCTTGCGTGCACAGGCTAAGGCGGCTTGTGAATACGAGGCGTAGCAAAACCGATACCCAAACGGGCAGCCACCTCAAGGGAACCAAACCAGGCAAACAAAACCAGAAGCCCCAACAAACCTGAAGCAGGAAGCGTGCTGCGCACTACACCCCAAACCTACCATAGTCCCAAGCTTTCAGGCTGGGGCTGGGCGATAGGTGATCTGGATGCCCAGCCTGTAGGGTTTGCCGTGCAAACTCCTGAGCATGCTGGGGTGGGACCTTCCAGAATGCAACCAGCTGCACTTCGCCACTTGGCAATGTTCCATGATCCCTTCCGCAAGTTGTGGCCCTTGATGCCCACTTGGGCTTCTTCTTGCTCAAAGTCCGCCGTCGGAGCCTTGTGCTTGAGTCTGAGCCATCTCCTGTTGCAGCTCCAATTTGGCTTCAGCAATCTGCGCTTTTAATTTTGTTTCTTCGCTGACGGTCGCTGCCTCCAAGACACCCTTCTACTGCTGAATCAACTTGGCAACTTGCTCTTCAAACTTCTCCATGCATGTCCAAAAAGGGGTTGGCCCTTGAAATTGCTAGTTCAGCGAGACTGCAGGGAAGCGAGAGCACATGTGTTAATATCGTCGTGCTGGGTATAACCCGGCTGCATTTGATGGTCTATGGGACCCCTTGCAGGCAAACATGTCTCATTCTTGCAGTGATGGGAGTTACACACATCTTCGTCAACATGGATACTCAACTCCAAGCAATTGATAGACAGGTTTAGTGGACTCGATTTTTGCACAGGTGGTTGACCTTCAATGGTCAGCAGGTGCATGTGCACCTGTTCGCACTGTAGCTCAGCGCAGTACACAGTGCCCAGCAGAAGCAAATCATCCACAAATCTTGCGACGACAGTGTTATATCATGTTATATTATAGCATATTATGCTATAGTAATATTCTCAAATGTACTTACTATTATATTGAATGATATTATGTTATATGGCTTTCTGAAAGGCTTCCGGCGAGTCTCCGAAACTCAGCTCACTGCGTCGGCTCATATCTTGGACCCAGCATGCGTCCCTCTCCCCCCCCCCAGAAGCAGCGAAGTGATCTGATGTAATATAGTAATGATAAAAAACAGTAATAACATAATGTGATATAGTATAGTCTAATATAACATATTATGATATGATTTTGGGGGCCTCCGTTGGAATGCCCAAACTCTGCCGTGCCATTTGTGCGCCAACCCGGAACACCGTCAAAAACTGAACAAAACGATCCTTCACAACAACTCTGATGTTTCTTGCATCCGTTTGGAACAAGACACAGGCGGTTTTTCGCACGCGCATTGATTGGAAGCAAGCCGAATTTCCTGCGGCCGTTCTAGACAGGCCATCCGGTGGTGCACCGCGCTGGCTGCAGAGTTAAGATTCCAAACTTGCTACGTAGCTGGCTTGTTTTGTCTCAGGATGCATTGGGCAGCTCTACTCAATTTAGGGCCTGGCGGCAGGTGCCGGCCTGGCCGCTGCCCTCCTTGCCCACCCAGCTATCAACTGAAAGCCACGCCCACCCCAGCCCTGCTGATACTCCTGATTGAGAGAAGTGCACGAAATTTTTTTTAGGTTTTGAAGACCCTGTCTCCCTAGTTGAACCGAAAGCGGCCCAAAATGGGGTCCCAATTGTGCTGATGATGTTCCTGTACGAGGCGCGCAGAAACCCCAACAGAACGCTCAAAATACACGCTGTGGGCAGTGTTTGTGGCTGTAAATACCAGTGTTGGTAGGATCTGCACTGTAGGACAAGCATGAGGCAGGTTTGGCGTGCATTGCCCAGGCCAACAAACCCTATAAAATGTGCATGTTGCATGGTTTTGGGGTGTGTTTTGCCCATATTTTAAACGCCCTGCAGTCCCCCACGAGCCAGCATCATGAGCATCATGGGGCCTGTTTGGGCCCCCAATTTCCTTCCTGAAACCACACATATGAGGTTTCAAGACCCCTCCAAAACTCCAGGTATGTTGAGGTGGCCAAAAGTGAGAAACGAAGGCGCCGCTGGCACGAGACCAATAGGCGCAACAAGATTAGTCCAAGCCAGGCGGCCGGACTCAGCAGCTTTACTATTTTCAGTTACCGCGTAGGAAATCAGTCGGTGCAACAAGCCAAGTTGCCAGAATGGTGCAGGGCCAACACCGCATTATTTTTGCAGACTTTTCCAACCCTTGATGAAAGCTCGGCATGGGTGGGCGCCCTGATCAGCATGCTCAACCTAGGGGTTTGGGACCCGGCCCCAGGGGTTTGGGGCCCGGGCCTTCAGGGGCCTGGGGCTTGGGCCGGTAGCGCCAATGATGTGCGGAGAAGTTGCGTTTTAACGAGAAACCCTAAACCCTAAACCCTAAACCTTGATGAAACTAGGCTGCCGGGACTGCGCGCAATAATTCCATTTGTCCAAGGCCTTCATGAACCCAGCTTGGGGTGGTCCCTGATGAGCATGCTCGGGCAGCCCCAGCTTGACACCAGGCCTTTGGACCTTTGCCCGCCAACAAGTCAGGTCAGCTTGGGTACTCGGGCCCAGAGGCTTGGGGCTCGCTTGGGGTGGGGTCCATTTCTGAAAAATCTGGGGGAGCTTGGCTGGGAGTCGGCTGCCTCAGAGGTGGGGACCTGGAGGGAAACGCAGGCGGGATACCCCCACCTACCCCCTTCTCCAGAAAAAAAAGAAAGCTTTTTACCCTCTCCGTCTACTGAAACCATCCAATACGCCCCTCAAGGTCGGCGGATATCCTAAGCTGAGGATGAAGGCGAAATCTACAACTAGCAACAATCTCACGCACATGCGCATGTGGTTTGACACATTGCAGATTTGCGTGGATGTTGAGATACACATAAGGCAAGCAATCAGCACGCGATGCGCTTCCGCAACGGTGCGCCCAAGGGGGAGTGTAAGCCTTATGCAGAAGGTACTGCTTATAACAAATTTGTTCGGTGGTCTCCTCAATTCTTTCATAGAGCACACTCCTGCACATGAAGTTTTCATACAACAACCCTTCATAAACAAAACTGCTCATCTCCATTGCTGCCGCTGGACACTTATCTTGTTGCACAATCACGAAGCTTTTCTG